TTCTATTTCTAGTTATAACAAAGATTTAGGGATAGGGTTCTTCTATAATAAAAACTTAAACATTGTTTGAATCTATATAAATTTGCTCCAAAACATTGCAGGATACACTTTTTTATTTTAAAAGCGGTTTGCAGGGAAGATAATCTTGTAATAATGATGGTGATGATTCCTGACAGCAGCTTATAGGTCACCTAACCATCCTTTACTGTATGACCCCATGCAATCATAACAAGTCAGGTCAGGTGGAAGCAGACAAAGTGCTCAGTGATAGGCCATCTTTCCTGCAGCTCTACAGCACTAAAAGGGTCCATCAGACAGAGAGGGACAGAGGGTCGCACAGAGCTGCCTTTCTGCAAGGAAAGGCAAAAAGGGGGAATTCCCTCTGGTGGATGCTGCAGAGATGAGAAGCCTTTTCATCCGCGCTGTTTTCCACTCTCTACAAGCTGCGTTAATTACAGGGCCCGGGGCCGCTCTTTGAGCTCGCGGGTGCTCTTGAGAAACAACCACGCGCGTGATTCTCACGAGAAAATAATAACGAAAAAAAAAAACCCCAACAACATAGAAAGAAGAAGCGCACGCGCAGGGAGCTCGTGGTGCCGCTCTGGGGAAACATTCCAGCGCGTGTTCAGTGAGTTCATCAGCGCAGTCTTCGCACCCACAGCCGCGCTCAGCTGGTTTAAAGGGATTCAACCAGCAGAGCAGGAGGATGTGGAGCCTCGCTGCTCCTCCGCTCTCAGATCACTGAAACTTTTAGTGGGAGAGGAGGAGAACAGTGTCGCTCCTGGGAGACCATGGGGGACAGTCACTAGATCCAATCCGGCTGGGACTCCTAATGGCTGTGGACGGTAAGAAGCGCTGAATATATCTGCTGATTATTCTTTAGATCATTTCACAATAATCTGCATTTAACCAGAACACAGAATGTACGATCTCCGGTTGAAGCACTTGTCTAACCAGTTTAGTCAGGTAAACGCAGGCAGATGGTAACAAAGCGCCTCCTGTGCGCTCTCGGATAGAGACCAGTACTCCCACTGAGGTCAAAACACTCCATTATCAGCCAGAAACTGGGTTATTCTGAATCTATAGGGTAGCTTACATAAAGGGGCACTTTATGCTAGAATCAAAACAGGATAGAATCTGCTGATGGAAAGAGACAGGGCGCTGAAACACATAGATCATCATCTGCAACATCATTAAAGCCATAGTCAGTTTTCAGTTCAATCCAATTAAAAAATACTTTATTAATCCTAAAGTGAAATTAAAACTTGCACTAAATCATAGGGTTTTTGATTTTTTCTTCAAGTTCTTTTAAGTATCTGTAGTGGTCTGTCTTGCATCGATATGGAGAAGCATCTGACTGAAGACACTTTCTTGTTTTAAAATTTTGTGAAGAGTTATCCATTATGTTCCTCACTTTATGAAGAAATCTTCTTTATGAAATCATCTCCTGAGTTTCTAGAGGAGTTCCCAAGACAGAGCTGACCTTCTTTAACTTGTTGAGCTTTTTTAAGTAAAGGTCTGATGATGATGGAGGAAGGGAGCTCACTCTCCATAACAAACTTATAGAAGATCTGCAGCATCTTGTTGCAAATGCTGAAGGACCTAAGCTTCACTAGGAAGTACAGTCTGCTCTGTCGCTCCTTGTTGACGACTTAAAGGTATAGTGGTGGATTTTCACAAATTTTGGAAAAAATGCACATGCAAAACCCTATATCCGCTCCCGAGAGCTAATGTCTATTAAACTGGTGCGAGAGCATGCACGAGTCCATTTCTCGTTGTGCACGCCAGTGTTAATTTTGTCAGGTTTTTTTTTTGTGTAGACTTTAGTCTTAGCAATGACAAAAATCAATTTTAGTCTTATTCATATTTAGTCATAGCCTTCCAAATTTAGTCTTAGGCTTAGTCTAAATGATGAAAATCTGTTTTAGTTCTTTGGCCC